ATAAATAAAAATTATAATTTTTTATGGATCTTCTCGATGTGACGATTAAAAAGTAAATAACTACCGATGACGTAATCATCACCTAGACTCCCCTACCCCCCATGTCATCCAAAATAAGCAAAGCAAAGACCCCCCCGCACCTCCATAGTGCTTACGTAATACTTGAACGGCCCCTAATCACAAAGTTGTTATTAAAGCTGACAAGACACCTGCAGGGCAACACATAAGACATTTTAATGCCCCATCAATCAATGTAGTCACTATCGTCATTGTGGTTGAAAATGTAAGTAACTGCAATATTGTTTTACACCGGTGTAACAATGAACTGCAGCGTGTGTTCGAAACACATCAAACATATGATGCTTTAGAATATCCTATCTTATTTTGGCAAGGTGAAGATGGGTATAATTTTTTAATGAAGATGAGAAATCCAGTTACAGCTAAATAAACATTTTACGTTTTTAATGTTCATCATATCTTTAAGTAATTTATAGAATTTAATCACAAAAAAATGTTATTGGGTTCTGAGTGTAACAAAAAAGTTAGTTCAATGAATTATTATTATTCATACAAGCTTATGGTTGGAGAAGTTGAGGTCAATCCCATGTTAAAATGTTGGTTTCTCTTTAACCAATATGCTGTCGATATGTATGTAAACGTAGAAACTGAGCAGTTCACGTTTATCAGGTTGAACCAGACAAAACTAGGAACTGAGGAATAAGGAAATTAATTTCATTCAGATGAAAAGGTAACAGATATTTCTTGATTATAGGGCGGCACGAAGTTCTCCGGGTCAGCTTGTTACTAATAATATGAAACAAACACTTTGGATATGATATAATTCATAATATATATATGATATAATTTATAATATAATATTGTACTAAAGTATTTTCAACTCTGACTCTGTTTAAATTATATTGCACGCTGTCCTTTAATGTCGAGATTTTTAAGTATTTTTGATGCTATGAAGAATCCTGCTTCTGATGACAATGGAATATATTATAAATGGGAATTTAATTTTTTTACTCTTAATGTCATACGTCGAAATCCTTCCATCGCTAACATACTCTTTTTTCAAAGATTTTCAAATCGTATGCTAAAACGAAGTTAAATAAAGCAAAGTCGACATTTCGTTATATATTAATATCAAATGCATTTCTAAGGGTTCCAATGTATGAACTAGTAATTAACACATACACCCCCAATTTTGCTTTCGCGTTCCAGACTGCAGCGAGAAACTGAGGAGTAGTAAGGTAACGCCACACTGCTATTAAGACGGTTTTGGAGGATTTTTAAACAAAATCTGACTAGTATATTGGGATCTGCTTACCATTTCTGGAAACTATAAGGCACAAAGAATTCCCTCGCCACTGTAATGTAACTGTATGTCTAGGGGTCAGTCAGGAAAAGTGAAAATGCAAGAGTCTATCGAAATATATTCCTGTATTTACTATTTTGTATATTATTATTACACGTTTATGCATGTTACAGGAAATAATAACAAATCGATTATGTTTTCTTTGTTTCGTTTTTTATTTTTCTCTATTATTCTTAGTTGGATCAGTATAATAACATTTACTAGATAAACCATTCATTGAAGTCAGCGTTTGGCTGCCACTGATAGACAACATTATTAAACAATTTTCTGTTATCCTGAAGATTTTTACAATGATAGTGCTGCGTAATAATTCAAGTAGCCATGTTCACATTCAAGTGTTTGTGAACTTAAATGTGAAAATGTCTGTACACCAAAAACAACATTATATTTTCTGCAAAGGGAATTTTAGAAAAGTCAGCCTACAACGTGCACATTCATTATAAAAGCTATAAAGAAATTTTAGAATAGGCTAGAAAAAACTGAATTCACATCTTACATAATAAATATATTATAATATTGGTTTTTAATTAAACTGAAAAAAATCTTATGTTTGCACTTTCGCCGGTATATTTTCAACAATTTTTCCCATATTATCTGTGACTACAGGTGCAAATAACAACACTGTGGGGAAGAAGGTATCCGATTCACGTATATTATGACCAAGCTAGCAAGATCTCTCAAAATTACATAAACGTCTCAGCAATGTGGAGTTTCTATAGTCACCAGCGGGCCTGGAATTCCTTATTAAGTTGGTACTACCCACAGTAAAATGGCCGTCAAGGGAAATAAACCGTGTAACACTGAACTTATACTATTATATAATCCATTTCAAAAACAGATGAACGAATTTATATAAGTAAATATTATGACGCCACAAACACATTCTACGATTTAATTCCTTACAAATAATTAAAAAGCTTCCATAAAATATTTAACGTATAAGCTTCATAATTCTTAGACAAAATTATAACAAAACTCTGTCAACCATCGTGAATAAGCATTCAAAACATATATCGAACATTTTGTAAAATAAATATCTATTCTGTCATTGGAAATAGTGAGCCGACCTAATGAATTAAAATTTTAAATTAGTTCGTATACGGGGCATTCTCACTCTCCAAAATCCAATGAAAGGCGAACTAACATTTTTATAGGGATTTCAAGGACTCTCGTAACGTTTTAAGGAATCGTCATTCTATTAGGTGCGGCGTAATATATCTCATTTTATCAGCAACAATTATTTTTTTCAGAGACTGCAACCTTTATTCATTTAACTTGAAGTTTGAAAATAAAGAGATGTATAAAAATGATACTGGATTCCCACAGTTTTACGAACTTTGTTTTATAAGGATAGCTTTGTTTAGATAAGACAAAGTTAGTGCATTTGCATTAACAATTTTTAAGTAATTTCCCTAAATACTTTTGTCTTAATATTATATTTTGTTAATGATCCAAAGTTGGCTTTTAGTTTTTCTAATCTAAGAAAAAATAAAAAAACTGCTGAAAACATATTAAAAATTACTTACTGTTTCGATACAATCTCAATTTGAAGTATATTTTGAGATTTTATACCTAAATATAATAGAAAATGCTATATTTAATAATTTATAAGCATGGTATAAAATTTTGGTTTTACAACCGATATAATATATTTCATAAATCTCCAAGGACCTAAACAAACACTTCCCACGTAAGAAGAATTATCCACACGTCAATCAATAAAGCGTTAGTTTTTTTTCCATATATGTTTCCAATTTTTCTGGCACACCCCGCAAATGTAATAGCGACTATTTTGCCGTTCTTTTTCTATTTGTTACGGGTATTATGTCGAGATGGCCAAGAGGTCGGTTATTATTTTTCATACGGCGTTGATTTCACTGCGGTCTGCTGTTAAACTTATCTTTTCTGGTTTACGATTTTTGATCATCGAATATTTCTCATTATGCTAAGTGTTTGTAAAAGGAAAATTGAAAATAAGAATTATGAATCTTTTTACGGTGCATATTAAAAATATACAAAACATAATTGTAGGTTATTAATACAGTTTTGGAATGGATTTATTTTTAAGGAATCTTTTGTATTATAAATAAATATTTCTGGTGACACTTTAGACTTTCTGTTGGTATTTCATAAAGGCGTTGTGCAGCTAAGAATGCATGTAAGAAGGAAGTGCCCTAACGCTATGGAATACATGCATGGAAAATGGTTTTATAAAAATATAATTGAAAAATAATATAGAACTAATATAAGAATATTCTTTTTGATATTTTTAACAAAGAAGATTCTTTGACTACAATTTTACTTCGTTTCGTTTGTAAATACTTTTTTGTTTTGTTATACTTACGTGGTTTCTTAAATTTTACTTTTACCTTTCCCATCAATAAATATAGCAACGCATTTGGAACATACTTAAATGCTGCGATGTATGGACGTAGATCACGTTAGATATTATAAAATTGACTTAAGTACTCGTATGTACCATTTTTATTATTCATATCTTAAATTTAAAGAACCTGAGTTTATTAATAATAATCAATATAATAGCTTAAAATTAAATAGCGACATGAATTTAATTATTTTTATTATGGATAATTATTGTAATAAGTATTATATTTTCGTAAAACGTTGTATCATCGTCACCCACGCGTTGAGTCACGGTAGGTAAGCTCGTAATGATCTCATCTGCTTCAAACCGAAAATGGTATTACTCCATTATAACTGTTTTTATAAAAAATATAATATTTTCGAGAAGAATATAATGCAATGATGTTAAAGTCATTATTAAATATAAAATATTATTTTGAATAAGTACTATTTCTATATTTGAAGTAGGTATTTGTTTTTGAGTATATGTATGTTAGTAGTATATGTTCGAGTTCGATTTTCATAAATTGTAAAAAGTAAAGAAATTATTATACTGCATTTTATCATTCAAAGTGAAATTTTAAAGTTTTTAAAAACATCATATGTTCCGTTTTTAACTATCTTCATAATAGTTGAACAGCAACAAATTCGAAGGAGGACAAACACAATAAAACCTTTTACACGGAGAGCTTAAAAGCAATACTAAATATTTGCAAATTAATAAAAACAGCTTTTCTCTTTTTGAATATTACCAATTTTTTTTTATTAATTCATATGCATTGTACATATTGAGAACCACCGCTTTATATGAAATGATGTTTACAAAATAAAAATATCACTTCCGCTGCTTCTATTTAAAAGGTTCATATTGTTCACACCTACTGATAATTTAAATAAGATTTGAGATGAAGAGAATTTATATGGGTAGAGAGAATTGTCAAGTACCTAAATTTATTATTGAAATCCAAGAAGTCTTCTAGCTTTTTCTTGAAGTCGACGATGTAAGTACAGTATAGGTACCTAGAATGTCTACATCAAAAGAGTATTCATATTAGATTTTCGATATCACAATGTCAGCTGGCCGTATCAGAATGTCACATATACATTCGATACTTTATTCGAGTCTTTTCGACTACACCGCTCGTCGCGCCACGGAACACTGTCAGATAAATGCAGTTTGAAATATATCCGCTGTCGAGTTCTGTGAACCTGGTACATGCGTGCCATTTGAAGAATGAATTTTTACATGTTTCTCATGTTGTTCGGTTATTTTTTCACCTGGAGCAGCGGCATGTTCTACCGGCGCGACTCTGATAGTGTTTTGAAACCCGGTGAGATAAATATATATTATTATAGATTAATTTTTATTGTATGTCACATGAAAAACATCATTTTTTATTGCTTCCTCCGTTGTAATCACACATATGTAACAAACAATTTATTAATAAAGTTGTTCCGTATAAATATTTTTCTGAGTTTTTGTACACTATTTGTGTTTTTATATTTTAAAATAAATGTTACACGAATATCCGATAAAAATGAAAGACATAAATTTCGCAATTCGATTTGATGTTTATATTGCGATGGTTAAACTAATAAGTATTAATCATAAATATATTGGCAGTTTGTTCATGTCATGGTTCTTTTATATTGAAAAAGATAAATAAAAATAAATGGTTGAAATAATCATTCATAAAATTAATATTTTAACTGTCGGATAGTGACTGATAATTCTTATTAATCTTACTTATAAAAAAATGTGCAAAAAAAATATTACGGTATTTGTTTACATCACTTCTCTAGTAGTGGAAAGTGAACAAGTTAGTAATAAGACTGGCATATTTGAAATATATAATATTGTACGTTGCCTTGGAGTTGCGTAAAATAGACAAATCATTTTTAGTTTACACGTTAATTTTTATATAAATCTTCATCTAAAACTAAAACAGAAACATACTTTGTATACGATTTCGGTAACGCTAAAATTTCGGTATTGTAACACTTTTGAAGCTCATCAAGATTACTTTTTTTGTTTACATTAAATTTAGTCGCTTGGCATTCTTTATACACGTTCAAGAACTTAAATTGACTAAGTTATGTGACTAATCATATAATTTCCTCTCTAAAGTTCGGTTTGTAAGCGGATATCTAATTCAAATTGTTTGCTAATTTTACTTTTCTTTTACTAGTAAACTGTTAACAGGATAGGTATATGAGAAAACTGATTCTCCAACTCACAGAGAGTTTGATTACTTTGTTGCCATAGTTGACGTATTTCTTAATTTAAGTACTTAGACCTAGAGAGAAAAGAATAATTATCAATGAATGAGTTATACCAGTTTCCAAGAATCCCTTATAAAATACATTGTTTTCTTTCAAACCGTAAATGATTAATTGTTTACATTCATACGATTCCAACAGAATCAAAATTCAGACTTAACTCGTAAACTTATAATATAATAGATATAATATAGGTCTAAATATTAAAATTTGGAACATATTTATTTTTAAAATGCGAATATAATATATAAGGTGCACTAATTTCACAATCAACTAATTACAACAATCACCAAAATTGGTATATATTCATCTCACGTTACAATTCACTAATCGCACTCTATATCGTACCTTCATACATATTGTATCAATCAGTAGCGTGATAGGGAACAACTCTAAAATTCCGACAGCAACCAGCGTTATTTTAATTCTACGTGACGCATTCTATCCGATTCTACGATGGCTCGCTCAAGTGATAGTTAAAAATGTGACATCACGCGAAACAAACGGCTGTGTTAAACCACGTTAAGCTTTGTTTAGCAGCTACCTGTTTTGGGTAAAGGATTTGAAAAGCTTTTCACTATAAATATACATATAAACCGACTATTAAAATTAAGTAAGCAAAGTAATAATTTAAATCTTTTAAACTATCGAAGGCGATATATTCTTTAATAAGAATTGCATGGTTATATTTTTACTTTTAATACATTATAATTTGGATAAATTAAACAATGGAGATTTGTCTTAGCAGTTTAATAAGATCTATAATATTTTCATATCCATCGTTTACAAAATCAAACAAAATTACTTTTAAACACAAATGATTACAATTATCATTTAATATGTTTCAAAACATACTTTGTTTGAGCGACGGTTATGAACAGGAACAAGTACTTAAAAAGCCAACATAAACGAATGAAACAACACATATTTATTCGATACAATGATTTAATTTAATAACTTATTATAATGGCTCACCTTCATTTAAAATACAACACCCACGTCCTTTATTTTTTATTGTCTGTTTGTATGATGAGTAATAATGATGTCACTGACTACCTAACTAGTAATATTATAAAGTATTTAAAAAATAATCTTATAGACTTACTACGCTGTGTTTATTTATTTGATCACTCATAATAAGATATGAAATAAAGTGTAATAAGGCTATTACTGTACCATATAGAGGAATGACATATAATTTTATGGCGCTTAAACAAAAAATTTGTGTATGATTAATAATAATTAAAAATTATACACAAAAAATGTTTTATATCAAACAATAAATTGATTTATTTAATCACGAGATGTTGTTTTCTTTTGAAAGATAAATCATATATTCTGAAGATTATCATAGCTTTGTCGAGGCAAGAGTGGATTTGTAGTTATGGTAAATGCAACCAGCCTTGTGCCTGTAGGCTACGGTCAAGAATGCCCAAGGAGTTCTTATGGCACAACATTCAAAACAAGTCGCCATTCTATATGAAAACATAAAATTATTTAAATTGAATGAAATATGTTTGAGTTATCCAAAAATAGACTTGTTATTTTTAAGATATTATTTAATTGTAATATTGATATCTTGTTTATCTTTCATTTATATAATTTTGCTAAGATGCAATTTTTTAGACTAAGAAGTTTCGTTTTTCGTATTTATTTAAAATATAAATGCGATATGACAATATAGTTAACAGGTTTTGGTATTACTATAATGCTATTTATGTTATAGATTTTATATGTGTAAAACTAATTATTATACCTTCGAAAGATATTCAGTGATTGAAGAGATTTCTTTTTACAGTCCTAATTCAGGTTCTAAAATTGTTCAAAATAGAGATTAAAATGTCTACGACGGTCCCTACCAAATATTATAATACCTCTTTATTCATTAGCATTTAATCCTAGCAAAACATATACATTGTAATCCCTTAGTGTTGTTAAAATTGTTGTTATACTTAAATCTTCTATTTCTAATTGAACTTTAATTCATGCGTTGTTATTGTACTAGAATAGTAATCGGTGGAATGATCTACGAATATCTCAGTTATTGAACATTTCAATGCTTGTTTTATAAAATATCAATAAAGAAATGTGATATTATTATTTCTTACATCATTCTACAACATTATTCTTTTAATGAACAAGACATGTTACTTATCTGGTACAAATTTAGCCGTATACAATGTTTTTATTTTGCAGCCTTTATAATTGGATCTGTCGACGTACCATAATTTGTCATCTAAATTCTAAAGTAACTAACATTCCTAAAGACCATGCTACTAACTCCAATAAGTATTACGAGCTCACTAGCCAAATCATTAGGGTTCGTTATAAATTTGTACGAAGTAAAAGTGGAAGCGAGAGGTATAGCGGCTAAATCTCTCTACAACCTACTAAAATAGTTTTGCCTGTCTAGAACTCACGTCATGGAGGTGAGCGTTAAACGCACGTTAGATAGGGGTCCCCTGAACCTACACCTATGTAGATCGCAAGTCCCATAGAATATTTTTTTTTGTTTTCCTAGGGGAAATCTGCTCACAGATACCTGGCCGAACAGGGACTTGACCGAGTTATGTGGGGTTTACCGACGCACTGAAACCCCTAGGTGTTCCTCTTCCACGCCACCTAGGCAGGGCCGCGGTATTACGAGAGCTTGCCTCGCGACACTGCAGGCGCTTGTCCGCTCCGGACCTCGAACTAGGGGGGACAAATCCCGCAACAAGCCACCGCCGCGAGCCGCCCCTGTAACAAGTACCATAGAATCATGGGAAGTTTCGTTTCTAAGTCTTACATTCGGTAGCCAGAGCGCAAAAGGGAATAACCACAAACGAACGATCAGTAGGTTTTGTGAGAGAAGGCTCTAGGACTACAAAATCAAACGTCAAGCCTTACTCCATCCTTAAAGCGGCGTCGGATTGGACTATAATGATGGACACGTATGAAAAACAATATAAAATCCCCGAGGATATTTGTGCGTCGGCCTCCAGACCGGATATATTTTTGTTTTCGCGAATTTTAAAGCGCGTAGTGATGATAGAGCTTACGGTCCCTTGGGAAACCAACATCCCCAAAGACCATACCATCAAGGTCAACAAATATTACGAGCTCACAAACGAACTCACTCGAAATAGGTTCGTAGTAGATTTGTACGCGGTAGAGGTGGGAGCGAGAGGTATAACAGCGAAATCTCTCTATAACCTACTAAAGGACTTGGGCTTGTCCAGAACTCACATTAATGCATTCTTGGAACGTACATCGAAGGCAGCCCTAGTAGGTTCTTTTCAAATTTGGTTAGGTAGGGAGAGGAGCTTGGACAGTGGAGGTGAGCGTATAACGCGCGTTAGTTAAGGGGCCCCTTAAACCTACACTTGGGTCGCAAGTCCCAGGCACTGTTGAAGCTCCTCCCCCTGCAACGCGATGGACCCGGCACCCGCACGGTGAATCCATGGAATGCTGAGAAGTTTCGTCGTCGTATCTATCCTTAAAATTTATGAACACTCCTTCTTGGCAGATATTTTGTTTGAGATGGTTTAAATCAGGAATGATTTAATTTAAAACAAAATATAGCAATCCATTCATGTTGGCTCAAAGTACACCTGAATTATAAGCTCCTATTCCCATTTTTTTTTGTTATAGATGGATGAGTTGAACTTTTTAATGTAAGGCTAAAATAAATGTTTCTCAATATTGATTAACAAAGAATAATTATATACTAGTCCCTATCATGGCTTATTTTTAACAAGAGAGCTAAAATATTTGCTTCATTAGGTTACTTAGACTGCATTAGCACTGCATTACCATTAGGTTCTAAGCAACATGTATGAATAATAATTATCTTCTAAACATTAACCTAACATCTACCTATAGATTTTTGAAGAAGAATTGATAAATTCGCTAATATTTACATATTTTTTTTACAACGAACGGCTAAAAATATTATTATTAGTTTTATCATATCGTAACTGCAGCAACTACATGTTTTTTACTATTGATTCGCTTAGTGTAAATAATCTCCGGTAAGAAATCACCTTCAGCCATTATATCTCCCATCACAAAAAAAGTAGAAATGAAAAAGGATAACAATACATCAATACATATTACACCCCTTTTATAAGTTACTATATTTTTTTATATTTCATCATAATCCGAATAACATATCATTAATTAAATGGGTGTTCGCGAAAGTCCTTAATTAAAACAGGCATTTTTAATACATGCGTGCTTTATTGAACATACTTGTACATTCACATACATTCGTGAATATAGAAATTATGTTATTGACATTTCATCAATGTTAAAGGGTTTTGAAGAAAAATTTAAATAAAAGCATAATTTTGTTCGCTTTGTGGATTTATCTTTCTTTCATTAATTATTTGAATTTATTTCTAGTCAAATTAATTCTCAATTGCAACATTTTTAATAGAAGCAAAAGTATTTCTGTATATTCCATACTTAGAATAAAGTAATTAATAATAAAACACTACAGTGCATTCAAGTAGTTTCATACGAAAAGTTGACTACAACTGGTGGAATGGTGTTCCAGTTAATATCAAGCATATTATAATATCTTAATAAGTGAACATTTAATAGTGCATATAGTATTAAGCTTCAGGAAGTTAAGCAATAAAAACTTTCACGAGCGAGGAAAACTTTAAAAACAACAATATTCAATTTACAAAGCTGAAACGTTCGCATTGCTGAAGTTTGGGAATAGCATTACCAGTAGCTGTTAAAACATTGAAACGTTTAAGTTCCTGTTGTACCAGCTTCGAACAATCAGGATATATTTATTAATATATGTTGTAAAAATATGATTTATATATTTGGTATTTGTTTTACATTTTCAACTCAAATTAATTACTAATTTTAATATTCGATAAATTAAGTTGTGTTTGTTTAGACATTTTTGACTCTTAGACTTAAATAAACTTTATTGAGCATTGAGATGAAAATTGATGTGCATTTGAAAAATAAACAACCACTTTTTATTTTACAATCTCTATCACAATTTTAATATTCCCGATAATTTTGTATTTCCATACTGTAAGAGTTGATGAAAAATTAAAATATTTTGCTGTCCTTCAATGTAAACAAGTATATAATTTAGCTTTTGAAATACTATGACTATGATGAGAAAATCAAAAAACATCCGACACAAATATTTCTCATATGCCCGGTTATATCTTTGAATTTCATTATTCCATGGGGCAGCATGTTTGCTTCTGAGGGAAATAAAAAGTTCGAACAGGTGAAGGTTTCATACAAACAAACAGTTTGCTAATTCTGTCCCTGTAACAGACCGATTGCTTTTGTTTTATGGCGTGGGTAAACATTTTTTTATTTCATAATTACACTTCAATGTTAACATTAATCACAATGGTTGAAAATTAAACTATACAAACGAAATTAATATTTTCGGATTTACTACGCTGTTTTTTATTTTTGATTATAAACTACATACTCTCGACGTTTCAGTTACTTTACAGCGACCGTGATCACGCGGCAGAAAAAATAAAAAACCGCGTAGTAGGAATTCTCAGTCACTGTCACGCATCCTCGAGATGTATGGGGACGTTACAAGAAAAATGTTTATAATTTTCAACCGTTCCAGAAGGGTTTGTTTGGTTTATATTAAATACATGTGATTTAAAATGACGTTTTATTTTCAGATCTTCTGCCAGTGTCATCAACTGTGATGCCACTACCGTATTATTCTGTATACGGATTCGAAACGAAATTCCTTCGAGACAAGAACAATAAACGACCCCAAGGGAAAATCTCTCTAGTAACAAAGCAACCAAAATAAAAAGCCTACCATTAAAGCAGTTTATCTTTTTCTGTTCGTAGGTAAAATTGTATGATAAGTGGCTATAATAGTTTCAATGCATTTGTAATTAAATCGCAACATTAAAAAGAATTATCAATTTTCTGTATTTCGCTTGAATTTGAAAATGTAATTTTTATGTTACTTTTTGATTTCAGTGAATTTGCGGATTTTATTAAATTATCCATCGATATTTTATTTAAGGAGAAAAAATGTGATATCTATATATATAAAAGAAAGTCGTGTTAGTTACTCCACTTATAACTCAAGAACGGCTAAACCGATTTAGCTCAAAATTGGCAGGGAGGTAGTTTAGAGCCAGGAAATTGCAATAGGATACTTTTTTATTCCCATTCGACAGCATTCCCGTGTAACTTGACATGAAACGTCAGTCACTATAAAACAAAACATAATAACCTGGACCTGAGTAACAAAACGCAAATGACAGCTATGTAATTGACGTATAATGACAGATACGTAATGACATATGGATGACAATTTGATATTTGTAAGAAATGTATATATTATATAAAAATTAATTGCTGTTCGTTAGTCTCACCAAAACTCGAGAACGGCTGAACGGATTTGTCTTATCTTAGTCTTGAAATATTCGTGGAGGTTCATTTCGGGGAAAACCCTAAAAGCAGCCCTTTTCTATTTCCCATAGAAACTTTTTTGACATTAGATTTGAAAACTAACTAATATGTCAATCATTCTGTCGCACTTCAAAACACGGAGATTTATGGTTTAAAGGTAAACTCCAAAAATATAAATAAAAAACGTAACAGATATTTCTTGATTATAGAGCGATACGAAGTTCGCTGGGTCTTCTCGTTATTTTTAAAAAAGTGATTTCATACAGCTTTTTGATAAGAAAAGAAACAAATATATGTACAAATACTTTTTTTATCGAATTGTTTGAATTATGTCAATTAAAAGAGATTTTAATAAATTGAGTTTTATCTCATTTCAAATATATTATCTATTAATTTAGTATTTTCTAAAAAAATGTAAAATATTATTTAATTATAAGATAAAAAGAAAAAGGATTGCAGAAATGAAAGTAATCGTAGATTTTTTTTAAAGGGGTAAATCATCAAATGACCCCTGTTGTCCTGGGTGGGGCAAGAGGGAGTGTCAGACTCTTACTGACTAAAATACCCCCCGTACCTACTCCTGCTCCGAGCCTGGCTGCGGTAGATCATTGCGCTTACACCAGCGACCTGGCCTGGCATCGGCTCTAGGGCTCCATCTCTGGTGGTCTGAAGGCTCTTTGAGGCGCGCGCGGTACGCTACGCGCCGTAGGCTCGGGTCTGGTTCTGATGGGGCGGCAAGCTACTCTTGCTCGCCGTCCGCAGACCTGCGCTTACGGTGGCTGGAGATCATCTCGCGGGTAATCGTAGACGATAATGCCTATAGCTGGGTGAAGTGAGTTTATTGTAAAAATTGATATCATTATCATCCAACTGTTCACTGTATACTATACCAAATTCAGGCAGAGTAATTCTTCACCTCCCCTGGGGCAGCAAGACCTACGGCAGAGCGTTTGTTGTTTATAAATCTTTGTAGGAGATCGTTATATGACATTTAGCAAAATGTTGAAGAGGTATGATCATTAATAGTAATTTATATACAAATATATACATATATACGAGTATATACATATACATATATCAATATTACTTCATATGCTTGGTAAACAAAGGATTGTTTTTATTACCCGTTTTTATAGTGAATTAACTAGACAATTCAATCAATCTCTCACTTGTTGTTGCAAAAACACGAAGAATTATTGAGAGTTCAGAATGATTATGATTTTAATAATCTAGTAAAATTATTGTTTGAGTTTACTGAATGGTTTTATAAACAGTTCATTTTAAGCTGGCTGTAATGTACGTATGTTCAATAAAGTCGAGGCTGTATTTACATAGTTTCGACGTTCATTGCGCGTCAAAACGTCGAGTTCGCAAATATGTACGTTCGGCCGATTTTAATTAAAACTATTCGTGCAGTAAGGCTGATCAAAATTAATTTAATATTAGCGTAATATATTTTATAAATAAACACTTTAACCCACGAAAGATACCCATACGTATAAAAGCTGTATATAATTTAATCGTAATATTTAAAGTGTGTAACATATTTGTTACCCTTATGAAATATATGGATATGATCCTAGTTTTAGACGTATGCTAATATTTTATCTTTGCAAAAGAAAATTATCATAAGAATAGCAGTTTTTGTGTAAAATGACAAACATTTGTGTCTCCTTATATATTTTTGCTTCGAAAACAATACAATTGTTGATATTACTGTATGAAATATAATATTTGTACATCTATATATATAAAAGAAAGTCGTGTTAGTGACTGCACTTATAACTCAAGAACGGCTGAACCGATTTAGCTGAAAATTGGCAGGGAGGTATTTTAGAACCAGGAAATCGCAATAGGATACTTTTTATCCCGTTCTACAGCATTCCCGTGGGACTTGACATGAAACGTCAGTCACTATAAAACGTGGAATAACGAAACACAATTGACAGCTATGCAATTGACGTATAATGACAGATATGTAATTTAGTATTTGCGGGGGGAAATTTAGAAAATCATTGTTTTTCACATGGGCAGTTATAGTTTGTGTGTTCACGAGTTAGGAAACCATCCGCTTTATTTGTGTTAACGTTAGAACAAAAAACAAAAAATGTGGTTTACAAAGGAGCACTTCAATGAAACGGATAATTTGCGGACACGTTTAACGCTTCGATTCGGTATTTACTTTGGATTCACTTTCATTTACTTAGAGAAGTTCAATTAAATAACACTTTATTTTTGTAATCGAAATGAATTCATTACTGTTGTGAAATGAAATAAAAATTTTCCTTATCAAATATAAAACAAAAAAAATCTTCATCTTTTAATCACCAAACGAAATGTTACATAAAACAAAGCCTTCTGGAGGCGAAACGGAGTTCGCCAGGTTTACTAGTATTTCATAATATAAATGTATTTGTAATAGTTATGCGTCTTAAAATGATTTTTTATTGATTCGGTTCATATTTCCTGTGAATGATGGATATTTAAATAATGTATAATAAGAACGTTTTATCGGGAATTCATTTCAATTTATTTATAACCCTTTGGGAAGGGTAAGTATAAACGAAACAGGCAATAATTACGCTTTTATCGGCTTATTATACCTCATCTACTTGTTAAAGCACTACTAATAATACTTGATGTAAATCTGTTCAGCACGTGTTTTATAGAAAAGCTGTATGGAGGATGAAATGTTCTGATGTAATCTGGCCAAGTGGCACTCTAGCTCCTCTTTATACTATACCTATATCTTAATTGAATCCCAGTCATGCGTTCGGTGTTCACGTGAGTGCTTTATGTTACGGAAGGTAGCGGTATAATGAAAATGGTTTTATAATGATTTTGATTGATAATAAATTTAGACCAGACTTATAGGGCATATTTTATTATTTATATATCGTATAAGCTTATTTGTTTCTGAAAGTCTGTTTGATAACTAAACCAATGTAAGTATGTACCTCGACGAAATTTCTTTTTAATTTGTTATCTTTTTTATTTAGATTTTTTTTGACTTGCAATTCTTTGTGTACTTTTTATATTATAGTTTATCATATAAACCATTGTTATTTATTTATATCTAATGATTTACCTAATGAAACAAATAAGTGAAAATTTCGGTAACCTGCAAGTTATACCCTTGGTATTTCAGGCGTCCGTGCCGTACGGTGACCAACTAAATAGTTTTGCATCGACATGACATAAAAAAATGTCGGACTTAAAGATTAAATAACAATAATTTAATAATAATAACAAAGACGTGTTTGTGTACATAAAAGCTTGCTTAGACAAGGTGTTTGTATCAATGCACGGTTAACCAGACACTTCGGAATTTATCTGCAAACATTCAAGTTTATGCACTACTCGTAAATTTAACCTAATTTGTAGATTATGAAGTTTCAAGCGTTTCACTACTTTACAATAATAATTATGGGGTAATATGTTTGTAATCCAGAACAGATTTTATCGAATTCGAAATGAAAATATATAAAGATAACAGTGGATGAACTTGTTCCTTAAAGTGATGCAATTTATCACAAACTGTGTGAAAGAGTATCATAAAATGTCTTAAAAATTATCAAAAATTACTCATTATTAATATATAATATTGCTCGTTTAGAATTATTAATATTAATATTTAACACTTATAAAAGTCTTTCTATGAATTTCATTCATTATGAACGTAGGAAATACAAAGTGAATTCTTACAGAGAGACAAGCGGAACGTCCTCGTAGTTCGTAAAGGATCAGCTAATGGACGTGTCGCAATGGGAGTATTATAAAAATAACGTATTAGTAGGATTAAGTTAAGCAGAAGATAGATCGCTGGAGACGCGTGATGACGAAGGAATTAATCAATACGTTTTACTTTACTAACGTTGTTGGTGTACGATAAATAAATTTCCTTTTTAGTGTTCCACGTCTTTTGAAAGGATTTTTTACGAAATTTAATAGAGATACTGTTTTATTTTGTAGCAAAAGAGCGATACGATGAGGAGGGTTAGTGCTTCGTAAATTATTAATTTCGACAATAAACGTAGGTATAATAAACGAAAGTAGATAACACTCTTTAACATACTGTAATGAAAATATCAATTATTATAATATTGGAAAACTTTTTTTAGAAAACTAAACAATGAAATTCATTTTCTATACTTAGTTAGCATTGTAATTTATGTATTAATCAAAATTAAAGATGCCGTAGGTTAAACAATCAGAATTTCAAACGAAAACAAAAATAACAGCAGAAGTTTAAACAACGAGCTCTTCCAGTGAATGAAGTGGTTGACGAGAATATTGAGGGCGCGATTTTAAGTTAACAATTTGAGATGTTCAAGCTTGCGTTCTTTTAAATATTAGTTGTATTTTAAAATACTCATTTCTTTGTTA